GTTAGTAGATAGGAGTAAATTATTAAGGTAGTGGGAAATGGTAAGTGTATGCGATTTTGCAAAACGAGTGTAAATATTGTGTTCTTGTAGAGAGCAGCTAAAGTTGTTTGCGAGTATCGCCGAGTGTACATCATATATATAATTAAACACAAAACTAGTCAATATATACATCACATGAATACATACTGCCAGAGCTCGAAATATGGGTTGCATGGCAGTGTGTGTATTTTTTTCAACAAGTATCGAAAAAAATTCACTCATCATGAATGAAAGCGTAAATTAAAATATATTATCGAATGAATTGGCATATATTTATAACTTTTTATGTTCTATTTATGTATTTTTTTATAAATATATGTGTTGCAAATTTGCATTTTTTTTTATAATTGTTTTAAAACAAAACAAATAGAGGGCTATGGAAACTTTCAAAACAATTTTTTCAACCAAACAGAACTGTAAATGCAGTATAGTCGAACCTCTTTACCTCTTTATTAAAGGTGTCTACCTCTTTATATGTTCAGTTTTTTTGTTTTTTTTGGGCCTACCCTTGTGAGTCAGGCCCTTTCGGGGTCCGGTCCATCAAATTGCCCCTCCTCGGGCCGGCACTCCTGAAGTAGCCCGTTCGGAAATATATTCTATTTATATGTACCAGAGTGTGTAAACTACTCACTACATTTTTAGCTTAGATTGTAGTAATATCTAAGTATATACACTACTATTCATTAATTAATTATGCACGACACTTCTAGTGGTGATTGTTGTTGTGTGGAAGAGTACACGATCACGCAACCAACATCAGGTGCACACAAGTGTGCTGGTTGCGACCGCAATATAGCAATTTGTGGCATGCACATTGGCGAAGAGTATGGCTCATTGGTTTACTGCTTGTCTGCAGATAAATGTCAGGCACCAGATTATCGTGGTGATTCTTTGTTCTACAATGACACACTGGCTAAGCCAGACAACTCGACACAAACTCTGTCTGTAGCGATCGAGCCAGATAAAACAACACAAGACTACTGAATAACTAGTGGCTTTGGTAGCTCCGTATCTGTCCCACAAGTCGTCAGTCCCTAAACCTGGTAGGGTGAGCCTGACCCAGGTGTGTCTACCTCTTTATATGTCCAAAATTTGCTAAAAAGGGGAACTGGACATATTAAGAGGTTCGACTGAAGTCACAAAGTCACAAATAAACAACAAGAGTAATAAACACAAGACCCAAGTTCAAAAGTTGAATGCATAGTTTTGGACTCAACCCTGGTTTTAGTTCATGTAAACCTTATCTCTTGGTTTTTATCTATCTTAAAAGTTTAGACCACATGGGAACTGTGAACAACTTTATAATTGATATACTATTTAAACCATCAACTAGGTTAACAATAAAGTGTTCTTTAAGTAATAATTCTGATAGGTCTTTTTAGGTTATGGGCCTAAATTTAAAATTTTAACCATATCATGCTACCTAGCGCTCAGCTCGTCACTAAGGGCACTGCGGTGTCCTAAAAAATCCTTGCCACATATGATGGATCTTATTTCAATACATGGCAACAAGACAAGGAAATCGCCATGGCCTCCCAGTATACTGACGATCTCACAAACACGCACCCATCACTGCGTACAGGAATTTCCTAAAGAAGAAGCAAATTCCGACCAAAATTATACTGATATCTTTCAATACTCTTAAAGCTGTATGTACCACCGCTTAAAACTAATTAAAATCGAACCCTATATTTCAACATCCCGTGCCAATGACAAATACCAAAAGGCGAAGACTCTTATACTTCCATCTCTGGACCCTGCTCTACGTCTTGCTTTGGTTAATTATGAGATAGCACCACTGGAATCTCTTTTCCTTCCTTAAATTAAAATTTCAACACGAATCTAAATTTGTGTACAATATCGTTGAACATTGCTGCATATTTAGCCGCCGTTAAATGCGGTCCCGCTGAATCACTTCGTCAACGGGCAACACGCTGTGTGTTAGACTGTCGTCGAGGCTGCTACTACCCAAGATATCACACTGAGTTCTACAGTTCAGCAGTTCTTGTTTATTTCCTGTCACGGGCAAGCACAAGCCAATTAAAACCAGCTATATAATATTTACTTGATCCTTCTAAAATATCGCTCCTTAATTAACATCGATGATATCTGTATCTAGCTAGTGTAAACATTGTATCACTCTTCTCAGACTATTTCATTGCCACCTACGGTGAATTCTGTCACTATCAACCAATGAACACTGACCTTAAAGTACGATGACATCATACACCTCGTCAACCACTCTTAAGTGTTGCCTATGTTAGAGTTCGTCACACACACTAAGGGGTGCGATCTATGCGGCCAGACATGCCATAATGCTCGGGTTTGCTCTCAGACAATATTTTCTGTTAATCGTAGGCCACATGTGGTTGCAAAACCAAGTAACATCTAGTAAAGAGTTTTAAGTCTGAAATAAGCAAACTCAGTCAGAAGTGTCATTGGGAATGGCGTGCCTGCTACATTTATTAATCATGATCCTATGTAGAATCAGACTTTCTCTACCATCGGGTTGTGTAAAATTACCGGTCTCTATAGTTTCGGATGAGTCATCACTTCTATCTCATTAAATTATCTATTCCACTAATCTGTCCGGTCCTCAGGTCCGGCCCTCAAATATTCCCCTATGTGCGGTTCTCTAGTCCGGTCCTAAATTCCTCATTCAGGCCCAGTCCTCAGGTCCAGTCCAAAATTCCTCTCTCAGGTATTTTACCGCACACGTCGCTGACGTCTGTAGCCAAAAAAAAAAACCTAATAAAAACAATTTCGCTTACAAGAAGTTTTCATTCGTCTCCCCTACCCATGACACCTCTCCCATCGCAGCACGTGTCACAAGTTGAGCTACCAACATTCTTTCTGATACACGTCAACACTCCCTAATAGATGGGACTGCAACCGTTGATTATATGAATACTACCACTGTTGTCCCTTATAGATCAACATCTCCTGTAAAGGGTTATTTTGTTTTTCAGCTGACAAACAACCGCGTTAAATATGTTCAGAACGAGGATTACTACCACATCTCGGCCTCACATATTTTGACCCGCACCTTACACAAGCCACACTGTTTCTCAGAACAATCTGTAAGACTGGCTTTGCTTTCAACCTTTATAAAAGGGAAAACATAGAACAAGCGCAATCAAGAGGGCTACAACAACTGTGTCCACTATGCGGATCTTAAGGCACTCCTAGACCATCCCCATGTCAAACTCACGGCTGTCCCGCCTTCTGCAAACTTCAAGCCGATTGTCATAATTTATTGTGTCTATCATAGAGCCACGGGACATCGGCAACAGTCCACCACCCTCCAAATGGCTCGGAAAAATAT